GGCAGCGGATCCGCTGTGTGTAGAAAGAGAGAGAGAGACGCTGAGCTGCACCGTGCAGCGATCAGCTGATACGGAGCATAGAGAGAGAGCTCTGCGGTCCGCGGGGCACGGCCTCGCCTCCTGTCCTCACAACTCTTATCAATCCCGGGACCGGACAATTGTTATTTGTTCCTCCTCAGAACCGAGTTTTGCTTCCCAACCCTGCCACTGTGCTACACTTCCCGGCTACACTTACTCCCAGCGGCTCAGGAAGAAAGCCCTCAGGATTACAAAAGACCCCCATCACCCCAGCCACAAACTGTTCTGTCTGGCAGGCGTTACCGCAGCATCCGGACTAAAACCACCAGACTCAGGGACAGCTTCAATAAGGCAATAAGACTGCTAAACACCTGAACTGTTGAAACAACATCCATAACATTCATCTGCTACTTAGAAATGATTTATCTATTTATCTAATATATCATATTCCAATAACTTGCATATAGACTCTTATTGCACTATTTCACTTTTTAAACTATTTTTGTATTTACTATTTACTTGCACTATATTTCTGTTTATCTGTTTTATTGTGTTGCAATGTTGGAGGAGCCTGTGACCTAAGATTTTCATCGTCATACTGTAGCTATGTTCGTATGACAATAAAAACCTTGAACCTTGAACTGTATGCTCCTCACCATCCTTGCAGATAATACCCGCTGTGTTCATCTCAGCTGGTAACTGTCAGATGGACTGATGTCTCACATTACACTTCTGCTTTTCTTCATTTTCCAGGTGATGTGGGGGAAATCAGGGTGACCTAATTTATCCCAATTAACTGTGACTTCATTTTTTTCTGCTTTTGTCCCTTGCTCTGACACACACATTTAAGTCCACGTGTGGCTTGATGCAAGCAGCCAAGCATCAATCTAAAAGACAAAACTCTACAACAGTTTGAGCGTCTGTAGAGACTGGAGGTACGGCAATTCCCCAATCCATTTCCTTAATGGAGGTGCCATTAGAGGTTACCACAGCATTTTGTCTCCAATGAATGTTAGCTGTAGACTGTTGCTTATGCCATGCTGCTGCTGGTTGTGTTGTTGTTTCCTAGTACATTAACTCAAAATTATTTTAAACTGTTTTTACAGGTATTATTCCATCATCAATCGACAACAAAATAACGTGGATGGATTTCAATATGAAATAATTAGTTTGAAGTGTAACAACCAATAAAAAAATCCTAGAGGATGCAAAATGGGATAATTGATTACTTTTGAGTAGCAGTCTTACCATAATGACATGCCGTCGCCTAATTATTTATTATAAAACTGATTAGCACTTAATTTCCTTCAAACATTGCATGTTGAGCTGTTGTTTATATCAACAGCACAGTCAAAAAGCAAGTGTGCACACATAATGAGTATATTTATTATATTATCATTTGATTGTGTCACTTTTCCACTCACACTGAACAGTGCAGTGTTGAATAAGGGCTGAAAAGACAGACAAGTCTCTCAGGAATGGAAGGAAACCTAACCAGAGCTCAAGGAGAGGAATACAAGAACTACTTGACATGTATGAGTGGACATAGATATGATGGCAAGCTACCACTCTGCCTGCTGCAGATGTAAAGGGAATTTCTTTGTGTGCCTTCATAGCTTTTTAAGTTGGTAAAATATATGTGTTCGCAATCATCTCCACTGCATCTAAGTAGCCAAGAATAAATAAAAACAACATTGTGAATAATGTACTTTTAAGGGCGTTTTAAAAATGTGCATTTGCTAGAAGTAAATATGTTCACTTCCTGGCTCTACCTCTGTAGCTACAAAACAACCTAGCACAATTCTGACCCAGTGGCACACTCCTGTGTGAAATGCAGTGTTAAAGTATGAGTGTTTTGTGCCATATCTTGGCACTGCCATGCTGAGTGTGTTCTCACCTCCCTGCTGGGTCTTGATCTGCAGAACTTCAGAGGGAGGCCCGTCTCCCACAGAGGTGAAGCCCAGCACCCTCAGGCTGTAGGTGATATCAGCGGTGAGGCCTGAGATGGTGGTGAGCATGCTGTCGTCTGTGTTGTGTTTCTGCCAGGCACTGAGGGGGGCATCGTGCTCCGAGCTGTAGTAAACCCGGTAGCCTCTGATTTGTCCGTTGGGCTCTTCTGGAGTTTCCCATTGAACCAGCATGGTGCTGGAGCTGAGCATGCGCGCCTGGATGTGAAGAGGAGGGGAGGAAGGGGCCTGCTCGCTTGTACGGGTGTCTACAATTCCACTGGGAGGCCCCCGCCCGACGTTGTTGACGGCCATGACACGAAACTCATATTCCGAGAATGGGCTGAGGCCGCCAATGCTGTATCGAGTCGTGGCTACCCCGTCTACTTCCTGGAAGCCGTTGTCGGACACTTTGGCACGGTACTGGATCACATAGTAGGATACTGGTTCTGGGTTGCCAGAGTCCCAGGTGAGGGTGACACTGGTGGCCGTGGTTTCTGTCACAATGAGGGAGGTGGGTGGCCTGGGCAGAGCTGTTAAAGAGCAGAGAGAAAACTGTCAGATATCTGAAGGAACAAAAAGAGGCTGTGGGTTCATTATCATTCAGAAGCCTCTCCTCATCGGCACAGGGCCTGTATTATGTTCGTGTTATGCTGCCACGCAGGCCTGAACCCATCTGTAGTCTACATAACCACAGCTGGAGTTCATCACAAGTTCACATTTTTAATGCATACACAGAAGAGATACTGTCCTGAATGTTTACAAGATAGAGCTAAACTATTTGTTAGTTTCATATGGAGCCCTCAGGTGTCTTGGAGCAAATCCAAATTACAGTTCATGCACAGAAGTTCATAAATTGTGGACACAGTTTAAAAAATGTATGCTCAGTATTTGTGTACACAGTTGACAAGAATATAAGGTTAAACAATCATGGACATTCGAGTATTTAACATATAACAACACGTGTTTTAAAAGGCTAAATATTAAGTGGCTTTTTTTAACCTTATAAAATATAATAAGATATACTGTGTACTTAACAGGGTAACCAGAAATCAATGCATGTCTATGCTAAGCCTACTTTAGATCATGTCAGATGTGTACCTATCCAGGCAAAGTGAAAGTAAATAAAAAAATGATGACATTTTTAAAACGCTTTCTCTGTTTAGGCAACAACAAAAAACACCCCAATTTATATGTCAAGGTTAAATTGGCATCTCAACCCTACTATGTTTGTTTTGTGAGAATGTGCAAGTAAGTCTGAGCATGTAGTGTTTTACTTGGCGGCTTGGACTAACGTCAAATCATTTTGGACCCTCCTTTTTGTACAAGGGGTACAGCACCCAGGCACCAGACCCCCTTCACCCCCTCTGTCCATCCCTAGCTGATGGTGACTCAACATTTGCCCAGGCTTATTACGCACTAAAGCCGCTTTGCAGGGATAAACCTTTCCAATTTGCACGATATTTCATTTGAAGAATTGCTTGAAGATTCATTTGTGAAAAAATTATCTTAGGTCGAATGTCCAACATTTGTCAGAGCTTTCAACCACATTGTACAGTGAGAAGCAGTGGAAAGCTAGTGAGAAAGCATTTTATACTTTTTGGAAATGAACTTACAAATTGTAACTGGAAAAAATTATTTCACATTGACACTGGCATTCCTGGACTTCCATAGGGCTTAGTGAAATCGCTTAGTTCTTGGACCTCTTTAAAACAGTACCAATACATTAAACGATGCATTGCCAAGCACAAAAAACATCTCGTAATAGGCACAAAAAGCATGTGATAAACAAATACAATCAAATACAAAGCGCTAATTGAATTTGTCATCACAAAATAATTCAGACATTTAGATGCTGATCCAGGTTTCTGACCTTTGACAATGATCTGGGCGGTGGTCTCGATCATGCCCAGGGAGGAGATGGCCACACAGGTGTAGTTTGCAGACTGGCGGATGTTGGTGAGCTCCAGCACGTTTCGGCCAATCGGCATCTCCTCCTCCCGGGTCAGCTCCACCTCGCCGCTCACCCACTTGACAAAAGGCATGGGGGCACCGACCGCAACGCAGGTGAGGTTGACGCTGCCGCCGGGCATCACCTCGTGATTGGTGGGGGGGATGGAGAAACGGGGAGGTACACGGCGAACTGCAGGAGGTAGAGAGGGGGAGTTAGACACGATACTGAGGAGGGGGGGTCACGGGACCACTGGCAGACGTCATGAATCACTGGCCTGGATTTTACTGTGCACCAGTGCGTTAGAAATGAATAACAGCTGTACTGTCCCATCATGCTCATAAGTTAGGTTTAGACTATTTTATACAGAATTAAGGTTGTTACGCTCTGAATCTTTCTCCTCTTTATTAAACTGGATACAGGCAGGTTTTAAACTAGTTATTATACATGTTATATTGGAAATACTATAAGTGTTTTTGTTCTAAATCCCTATAACACAAGAACAGTATAACTAGGTTACCTCAGGTTATTCAGAAATGTCTCCTCCTCACACATTTTGAAATACAGCCAAGCCCCGGGGAAGTGCGCTAGTGGAAGCAACCTTTTGCAGTGGCCAAACGGCGGTACTACAACCTACGTGTCAGTCCTGGGACTTATACGCACGTACATAGCATTGGCATTATTCTGAATCATTCATCACCCTTTATAACAGAAGATGTTATGCCCCCCCTTTAAGTGTGACCATTCAGAAGAGATATAAAATATAGTATATATTACAGTTTGACATGTTATATTACATTTTGACATGTTTCTAACCATAGTAATATAATTAAATATTCCTATAAATTCCCCTTAAATGTCATTCAGAAGCATCTTGGTCTCACCAGTGTAAGGCATTGTGCTGGAACGCTTTACAGTCTGGAACTAACACACATTAGTTTGCCTCTTGGGGCCCCATGATGCTCATATGACATTACCTATTATACGCCAACTTTTCTCCAATACATATATATTAGGGTTCACTTGGAAATGGAGGAAATTGAGAGCCTGTGCCTAAGGCGTGTGATTTCTCTGGAGTATCTGGGGTTTCCTGCTGGACTGCAGGGATTACAATGCACCTGGAGTCTTCTGTGCTGCCTGTGTGGAGAACTCCCATCTCATCCTGATGCTAAGGCTGTAGAGGATACTGAAGAATCCTCCCCTATTGTGAGCTCCCTTCCATAGAAATCTCCCCCTAAGAGCTGGGATTTCATTACACTGCATCTGAATTAGTGTAACAGTACTGCATGTCGTTAAACTTGCAGTTGGCCGTGTTGCACAAGTGAAGTTCTCTTGACTTAGGCGAGCACAGAGTCATGAAAATCTGACTTACTGAGTGTAATATAAGCTGCGGGCTGGTACATGGGTGTGAGGCGCTTACACTGCGGATCAGAGGCTTTTCTCAAGGTTTGATCTTGGTTTAACCACAGAGAGGGAAGAGTTCTATCATTGTGTACTTCAGAAATAAAATCAGATGTAGAAGTAGTGATGCTAGAACTGGTAAGTAGCACTTGTATAGGTACATTATGTTTTGCTGGACCATAACTGATAATTCAGGGACTTCTTGAGTAATTTTGTCGGGGAGGGGAAATAGTGTTTTGGGCACTGATCATACAAGAACAGCATTGTGTGCTGGCATAGGAAGAAGCACACTCAGAAACCAGACGGCTGGCATTCATTCCTGTGGAGGCTCAAGCACTGGAGAAGATGATGTGGAAGAGAAGGAGGATGAGAGGAGAAAGAGAGGAGTAAAGGAGGAAGATTTAGGGGCAAACTGCTGGGTTAGTTGGGTGGGGGCTCAAGGGAAATCTTTCTTTCTGTAGCTGGCTTTATGTTGGATGCTGGAGGACTTCAAATTATAATTTTTACAACCCGACAGCAAAGAATATTCATTTTCAGGATCAATACCATTATCGATCAATGCCGATGAGACGGTGCTAAGAATCAACATGGAAACCAAATACCTCTCTATTAGAAGTCTATGTTCAATTGTTTGGTTTAATTAGCGCATGACTAAAGGTCACAGAATATTTCAATGTTGTCATAATTGTCAATTCATGATAATTCTTCATTACATTTGTTTAATGGTTATGCAACATTACGATATAACGAGGCTTCTTCATATCAGTGGATGGTCTATTACTCGGTGCCTTCTAAAGAAACTTTGTATTATTTTATGTTAAGAGACTTTAGGCTGGGTTCAACCTCGAATATATTTGAGGATAAATAGATCTCTCATGAGCTTTTATTGCATGGCAGTTCTGGGACAAGAATCTACATTTGAGCAGGTGCACAGCAAAAACCAGGACTCTACATTTCATAACCCCATTGATCTTCTGTTGGTAAGTGGTAATACTACAGCCAGTAATACATCAGAGGTCTCACTGATAGACATCATAACATTGGAATACCTGTTGATATCCTTACCACAGTGAATGGGGGGTATGCAGGATGAGTCAACCTCAGTTGGCCAGCATAACCTCAGAACTGTTTCTAATGTAAAGAATCTAAATTCAGGTAGCAATTCTAGAAGTGGTATGTACATATTATGTGTGTAATACAGATGAGTTGTACATATCCATCCATCAATTTTCAGAGTGGCCACAGGCTAAGCAAATGAGATCATACAGTATACCCCAAGGCATTGAGACCTATATTGAATAGCAACTATAGTATAATAAAAAATATAGATAATATTAATTTGCATTTTCAAGGTAGGAGCTTCAGTTTAGTTTAAGACAGATAACACTGAGATGTTTGCTTGTTGAGGATCATCACAGTTCTGGTTTCTGATGCTGGATGTTATCAATGTGCTGGCCAGCACTGAGGGAATCATCATGTCCTTATATTAGTCAATTAGAAACCATAACGTAACTTGTTGACAAGGAAGATGCTCACAATGTCATGACAAAAAGTAACTTAGTCATAAATTAAAGGATTATTGTTAGAGTTGCTTCTGTTAGTGTGCACAATGGCCTGATGGTTGGATGACTGAGGTACTGAAACAGGGTGAGACTGAGTTTTCTACACAGTCGCCACAAGGACACTCAGAAATAACAGATGCACATAAGGATGAGCTAATAGTTAGAATGCAGACAAACACATATCTTTGTTGGCATGCTAGATAAAAGAGACAAAGGAAAAAGGGAGAAGGTAGAGAAGACAAGTCCTAATAAAGGAATAGCTAGAGTTAAAGGAGAAGCTGCGATGGGTGGGGAAGCAAACATCTGTATGCAAGCAGGAGACGTAGCAGCATGCATACTGCAGGAGTTATAGACAGGCATCAAGCATATTCAATTGATAAATGCGGTGATTGGCATCTCAAGTAGAAGCTTATTTCTTCCACTGGATTGATGACATCTCAGGTTTAAGTCTAATGTTCATTCTATCATATTTCATAGTCAGAACTTCGACTTGGTACCACAAGTCATTTTATACACAGTCTCTGTGGAAGTCAAACAAAGAGAGGTACATATGATTCTGCAAGTTTCACTTTAAACAAGTTTTTCTTAACTATGTACATATTAATGAAAAAGTCCTCTTACATGCATCACTCTAACGGTTTAATCAAAAAGTAAACCTGTATTTTTAATTATAATGGGTTGGCTAATAATCGCCTGATTCAGTGCAATATTAAATTTAAAGATGTTTGATAAAAAGTAAGCAGAATCATGTTTTTATCACTTCCTGTCTGACAGAAAGATGACTTTGAAGAGTGTCTGGCAACAAGAAGCATGACGGGTCCTTTGATTAGTAACTGAACTAGGTAAGCAGAAATGGGAATACATTCCTTGCTAGAATTGGCTGTTATTCAAAACATCCAATAGCTACATGCTGGCCAAAGCATTAATCAGAATGGACATGACAAAATGTGATGATAAGTGCATCATCCACATAAAGCATTGTGCTGATGAAGACTTAGGTTTGAAGATTTGTTTTGTAACCATGGACAGTGCTTAGGAAACTTTTACAACATTTCTGGTGGTGAACTGCACTGAGCAATATGTCATTAGAGCTTTATAACTTTAAAATATTCCTCTTTTTCTCATGTGGAAAGGATGGAGATGAAACGCATTATACTGTAGCTCACTGAAGATAAGAGTCACTTCAGAATGAGTTCTCATTCTGAGACTCACACATTCTGTGCCAAAGGTGACGGCAGTATTAATGGGCCTTCATCCCATCCTGCACTCAGCACTCTAGCTTATTTCTGGGATACAAACCCTTGAAATCGACTTTAGTTTGAAGTTGTACCAACTAAGTTATATTACGCTAAAGTAGTTGCCCATTCAGCCAGTATGTGAAGCTTTATACAAAGGGCTACTCAGTTCCACACTAGATTTATTATTCAAAAGTGATTATGTATTGGGTCACAATACATTTTTTCACATTCCTACCACGTCAAAAATAACAGATCTAATGTTTTTTTCCTAGAATCCTAATGTGTACACTTTGACTTCAAACACATGTCAAATCAATGAAGAAACAGGAACAAAAACTACTGTAACACAGAAGATGACCAAGAAGCTAAACCACATGTCTGCAAATCAAACCTAAACTAGCCCAGCTTGGGCTTAAACTCTCTCCAATAGCATTTCACTCTCCCTCCATTTCTGAGCTCTTCAGCATTCTCCTATTAATGATCCAGCAGTGAGAGTCTTTGAAAAGGCTGTAAACATGTTTGAGGCTATTTTCTTCTTCGAGAGTGTAGTTTTCTGAGATAAGAGCAGAGCGTGTGCTCAGAGGCTGCCGCTCAGACTAATAGTGGTCAGACAGCCGATGAGAGCTGGGATGAGCCATGCCTTTGAATCAGCCAAGACAATAACAACACTATCAGCATGCAGAGAGGACATCATGACACTGACACAACATTCTGTGAAGTGAGCACATACTCAAATTATGTTGTGGTTATAAATTATGTAACGTTTTTCTTCCCTCACCAGGAAAGGCGTGAGTTGAGTGACACATCATCATCATCTCTTTGTCCCTAGATAGTTGATATTCAAAATCGATGCAAGTATCAATGTTTTTTTCAAGGTTCTGTTAACCATTAATCTCAAACCTATGCAATTACATTTATTGGAGAAAAATCATTTATAATCCCATTTACCCAGAAGGCCGCATTTTGTGTCCGTTGTGAAACCATGGATTTATTAGTCGTACATATGTGAGGTAAGTAACTTTCCTCACGGATGTCACATACTTAATTTACATCAGTAATGTAACAAACGTATTTTCCTTAACCATAAAAGGTCAGTCTGTTGCCTAACCCTAACCAAGAAGTTACGATGCTAACCACATGTTTAAATCAGTGACGGTTTGCACTTATTGCTGGTACTTAATTGTTGTGGGATTCATTGGCAAAAAATAATTCCGTCATTAAGGAATAAGTAATGTTGGGATTATTTTAAAATTACTATACATTTTTATAAGGTGATGACTTGTTTGTATCTTTGTTTCTCAGTTTGTAATGGCAGATGTCTCTTAGTAATATGTTACACATGTGTAATATGAATATCACAAAACAGGTTTCTCAAATGTTTCATCCAACAACAAGACATTTAACAAATCCTATTGCTTTTTGTTTTGCAGTTTTTACCGGGGATGGTGCTGGCACGAGTTTTTAATACATTTCACTGTAACCGTATCACCAAATTAGGTTTGCATTGTTTCGTGTGAGAAATGAACAGTTACAATTTGCAATATGTAATGAAGTTGTCAGAATTTGCTCATTCCAGTGACAACAGGAAGAGGCACTTTTGTCACTGAGATCTAATAAATATATTATACATGTAATATTTGTTGCTGCCAACATTTATTTTCTGATGGTGAGGTAACGTTTTTATTCTTAATAAATCTCTGTGAACCATTGGTTCCCAACTGAAACCTAAATGTAAACTGAACTTCCTGTCATGTGACATTGAAAAACAAAAGGAAGAATACATTGCTCCTCACACCGTTGCCACTTTAATCAAAGGCCTTTCCGTGTCACATCCTCCTTTAGAACCTTTCCTAGTGGGGAAATGTACGTATATATTTTGTGTAAAAGCAATAAGACATGCACAATTCACAAAATTTCAGAAGCACAATATAGCAATATATAATGTGATGCAAGGAAGCATGTACTGTAGCATTGGAAGAGGGGGGGGGTTGCATTATGGGTTAGGGTCCTGAGAGAGAGAGGCCGGGACGGGCCTGAGGCGCCCAGCATGAAGCTGGCGCAGCACGGCTCCAGTCTGCCAGGCCTGGGCTTTAGAAGGGTAAAGAGTGAAAGAACCAACCTTCGCGTTGATCTGAGTGGTGAGATTTGGATTGTATTTTTTTGATGGCGGGGGGGCAATGATGATGGAGGGATTTAAGATAAAGTGAAAAATAAAAATTAAACAACGAGAGGGGGAAAAATAAGGAGTAGGAGGAAGAAGACAAGGAGAAACAGAGAGAGTAAAACAGGCAAATATCTGCTTATCCATCATGAGTGAGAACAACACAGTAGAGACAATAGCCTGTGCAGTGAGGTGACACACACACACACACACACACACACACACACACACACACACACACACACACACACACACACACACACACACACAATATAGTAAGGCATAGCAATGTGGTGCAAACCAACACGTAAAGCAAAACGACAAAAAATACCATTATCAGTGCTAATTTCACTTTGAAGGTAACATTCCAGGCTATTCCAGTGAGCACCCACTCAGGAGTGAAAAACAGACGCATAATTACACATGTTCCTCACAACTTTCCTGCAGTGTTTGAGCCCTTCAGAGCCTGAGATTTAAATATGCGGAGGCTTGCTGACAACCAGACTTCATTAGGAACACAAAGCAGACACTGTCTTACCGCCCACATTTATTCTGACTCTGAGCGAGCTCAGCCACTGGGCCTTGGAATCAATGAGCGCAGAGTGATAGCCCTTGATAGGATTAGTCAAACACTCACCTTGGAAATGTGCACTTTTTTGCCATATGCCAAGTCCTCACTGAGGAACATTTAATGTGCTAATACTGAATAAAGGGGCTAATGTGAGTGTTCTATTGGTCTACTTTCCCATTACCAGAACATACTGTGCCTTTCATAACTACATTACTATTGTAGTGCATTTCCATTAAGCATATTTACATGGCTACCATTATGCAACAATGTCAAAGTATACACTTATCAAAGTTTACATTAATTTGGTCATTTAGTAGAATCTATTTGTGCTTCCTTAAGGCTTTAGGTGTTCTCATTCATAACACTCCGTTCGATGTCTCCCTATGGGCTGCGCCTCCCCGCGTCTGCCCCCCGCCGCCTCCCTCTCCTTCCGCCCCTCCTGCTTGGCTGGTGCTCTTGCCGCCCC